AGGAAACTTGACACAGAGCAGTGCGTCATCCAGTTAGTTCATGTGGCTGTCACTGAGCTTGAACACCATGCCAAAGAAGATACTCTAAAGGTCTGATAACTCAAAATAATATAATTTGTAAAGGCCTAATATTTTATGGTAGGGGACTGTAGGACATAAAATAGACATTCTATTGATGAGAAATCTGAGACTGTAGAAAAAGTGAAAAGTACACCCAGCTAACAAAAAGAGTGATTTCAGGGTTGCTAATAGACTTTCCTTGCTTGCCCCAGAGCATTCCTATTGTGATATCATCACTCCACTTACCTCTATTTATTGATTAGTTGTCAGTTACTTTTGAAAAATCCTAAGCACAAAGTTCTGACCAGTCTTCTGATGAACATAAAGTAAGTATAAGAGATGTCCTTCCTTTCTAGGAACTTTGAGAGTAATTGAAGAAAAGAGGCACATTCATGTAATGGGAAACACCTTATGACGACGTGTGCTATGAGAGCAGAGAAGAGCATAATAACATTCAGCATTTGTTAAGAGCTGAACATGTGCGTAGAGCTTTATATCCAGTCTTCACAGTCATGATCAGGGTGGCTGGGGAGGTCTCCATGGAAGAGGTGCTCAGGTGTTTGAAAGTTTTTTTGACACTAAATACGAGGAAATTGTAAGCAAAGGCTTTGGTTTAAATTTGCATGTGATCTTGCCATGTACTTCCTAGCCTTTTCAATTTATATAAGCATAAATCCACTTATTTACCAGATGTAATAACTTTATTGAATGCAAACAACTTGATAGGTGAACAACAACAAAAAAAGAGCTTTGTTTTTTCTTTTTGTTGTTCCTTCAAATATGTGCAAGGAATACTTCTCTACTTTGAATGATTTCTCAGGTGGGTGCCATAGCATTTCCAATCATTTTAAAATAAAACATCCTCTGGTTACCTTTTGGCACAAGAACAGTTTCATTTAAATATGCAGAACTTTCAGACCATTTATAATTACATAGCTTCATAATCTTACCTAATTTAAAGCTGCTTCCCACTGCTAAGGCCTGCTATGGGCAGAGAGGCCTATGGTGGTTGGCTTCTCTTTTGCTTTCCTATCTTGCTCTATTGCTCCTCACCCAGTCTGCTACCTGCAGTGTCTCATCCTCCAGGTTCTTACCAGGTAGAAAAGACTGGGGGGAAAGACCCAGGTTTACATGGTCACTACTCTAACAATCTGGAACTGGCATTCTTGGGGCTTTGACTGATTCTAAAAGTACGTCTTTATGTTCCTTTGTCTGGAATCTCCAGTGACACAATTCTCAGATTGGCCTTTTTCCCACTGGCCACTTAGGACTTCAGCCAACATTTAGCCATGGGCGACTGATATATTCGCCTCACCCAGGTTCTTTCTGTTGCGGTCCCATTGCCCCAGCCCCTTTGGAGAAATTTTCTTGGCTGATTTCGTCACCTGGAAGGTGCCTATCTGGTCCACAAGAACCACTTGTACTTCCTTGACCCAGTTTTATGTGGAAATACAGTAATTGTCTTACAGGACCACTGCTGCACTTTAGATTCCTCATGTCTGAATCAGACACCAGACAGGAATCAGATTAGTTCATAATGACATGAGATACAAATAAACAATTGCTCGGAAGTACATTTTTATACCCATATGACATAAATTTCTCTCCTGTTTTCATGAAAGGAATTTTGTACACACATTATTCCAGGTATATTAATAGCATACAAGTAAAAGTCAAAGCATTACAACTTTGACAAAAATAAACAGAATGCTTTTAGACTTCAAGATAGAAAAATTTCTGGGCGGTGGCAGTTTGGCTGCGGGTGTGTGAAGGGAGTCAGTGTGGAGGCCACAGGGTACTCGCCACGATGAGCAGCACCTTAGCTAAAATCGCGGAGATAGAAGCCGAGATGGCTTGGACTCAAAAGAACAAGGCCACAGCACACCACCTGGGGCTGCTTAAGGCTCATCTTGCTAAGCTTCGTCAAGAACTCATTACTCCAAAGGGTGGTGGTGGGGGAGGTCCAGGAGAAGGTTTTGATGTGGGCAAGACAGGTGATGCTCGAATTGGATTTGTTGGTTTTCCATCTGTGGGGAAGTCGACACTGCTTAGTAACCTGGCAGGGGTATATTCTGAGGTGGCAGCCTATGATTTCACTACTCTGACCACTGTGCCTGGTGTCATCAGATACAAAGGTGCCAAGATCCAGCTCCTGGATCTCCCAGGTATCATTGAAGGTGCCAAGGATGGGAAAGGTAGAGGTCGTCAAGTCATTGCAGTGGCCCGAACCTGTAACTTGATCATGATTGTTCTGAATGTCCTGAAACCTTTGGGACATAAGAAGATAATTGAAAATGAGCTGGAAGGCTTTGGCATTCGCTTGAACAGCAAACCCCCCAACATTGACTTTAAGAAGAAAGACAAGGGAGGCATTAATCTCACAGCCACTTGCCCCCAGAGTGAGCTAGATGCTGAAACTGTGAAGAGCATTCTGGCCGAATACAAGATTCATAATGCTGATGTGACTCTACGTAGTGATGCTACAGCTGATGACCTCATTGATGTGGTGGAAGGAAACAGG